AGCAAACAATCTTTTAATTCTAAATTGTGTTAAACCTAATACAGAACCAATTACTAAACCTAATAATGAACTTATTAAGAAACTAGTAGTTCAAGTATATTGTGTAGTAATATATACACTATTTGTATAATGAACCAATTGTAATAATAAAATTAATATAGAAATTTTAGCTATAAGAGCTACAAAAGTAGTAACTATAGTAGGTATTCCATCATAAACATCAGGTGATCAAAAATGGAATGGTGCAGCTGATATTTTAAATAAGAATCCTATAGTTATTAATAATAAGCAATATGGTACATAAGTAGTAATTTGTTGTTCATTTAATACACCTGCTAAATTATTTATAACAAAGAAACTATCTAAATATGTTACACCTAAATTTGCATATATTAAAGCTATACCTAATAATATAAAACAAGATGCTAATCCACCTAGTAAAAAATAAGTTAAACCAGCAGATGTTGCTGATTCAGAATTTCTATACATAGTACATAATAAATATAAACCATAACTTTGTAATTCTATAGATAAAAATATAGATACAAAATCACTACTAGATATTAATAATAGACTACCTATTACAATAAATAATAACATTAATGTATATTCCAATATTGTATATTGTTCTCCTTTTTTTAAAATTATATTAGATACAGCAATGTTTTTAACAAATTGTAATTTTGTAAATAATAATTTGTATAAACTTAAATACTGACTAGAGATAAGTTTTCTAGGATAAAAACCAGTTAAATTCAATATTAATAATGTTAAAATAAATATTAATATATGAAATGTTTGTGTTATAGGTGATGTATAAAATAAACCACCGAACAACCCTATACCATTATCTAAATATGTTATAAATAAATTATTATAACATAAATAAATACAGTAAAATAATATTATAATACCTATTCTTGAATAAAGAATAGCTGTATCACGTCTAAAAGACAATGCATTAGATAATATTAAACAGAAGATTGAAGATAAAAGCATATCTGAATAAAAATATAAATAAATTTAAATTAAATAAAATAAATAATAAATATCTATAGATATTTATTATAAAAAAAAAAAATAATAAGTTATTATTAAATAAACAATAACTTATTATTAAGTAAAGGATAACTTATTATTAACTATATGTTAAATTATTATTTAGTTGAAGTTAAATTATTATTTAATAACGCAAACAAAGTAAATATAACTAATATAAATAAATTATTATCATTATAAGAGAAATATACTAATGATATGTAGAACATTAAACCTATTAATATATATAGAGCATAAGTAGTAATTACACCAGTACTTAATTTACCTAAACTATTACTTAAAGATAATAATCCTTTTTCTAAACCATAAGGTCCTAAGAATTCTACTGAACCTTTATCTAAACTTTTAGTAGTTTGACCACCTAATTTAAGAACACCTTCTACAATATATTTATTATAGAATAATTCTATATAAAATTTTTGATTAAAGAAACTAAATAAATTATAACCAAATCTTGAGAATTTAAAGTTAATAAGTAATTTAGGTAAGAATTCAGATAATAAAACAGAAAAAATACTTAAACTAACTGTAAATACAAATGGTAATAATTTAAATAATGTTGGTACAGCAAATTCTGTATCTAACATAATTTCATGACTAGGATGAATAAATAAACTATTATCTACAAAGAAACCAGAACCTAAACCTATAAAAATATCTTTAGTTAAATAACCAAAGAATATAGAGAAAATAGATAAGATAATTAAAGGTAAAGTTAAGAAAATATCACCTTCATGAGCATGTTTATAACTAGATAGAGGTCCATTAGGATTAGCTAAGAAAGTTAAATATAAAACCTTAGCTGAATAAAGTGTAGTAAACATAGCACCTATAGTAGCTACATAATAAACTATAGTACCTGATAAATAGAATTGACCATAAGAAGATTCTAGAATAAAATCTTTAGAATAGAATCCTGTCATGAAAGGTACAGCAACTAAACTTAATGAAGCTATTAACATAACTGAATATGTTAAAGGTAAAAACTCTCTTAAACCACCATATTTTCTAAAATCTTGATTATCAGCTACTGCGTGTATAACTGATCCAGCTCCTAAGAATAATAATGCTTTATAAAAAGCGTGATTAACTAAATGGAATAAAGCTAAATTATAACTTGATAAACCTATAGCTATAACCATCATACCTAATTGACTCATAGTAGAATAGGCAATAACTTTTTTAATATCTTGTTGGAATAATCCAATTAAAGAACTAAATACTGTAGTTATAGCACCTAATCATAAACATAAAACCAAAACAGTTGAACTATATTCAATTAAAGGTGAAGATCTCATTAATAAATATACTCCAGCTGTAACCATAGTTGCAGCGTGAATTAAAGCAGAAACAGGTGTAGGACCTTCCATAGCTTGAGGTAATCAAATATGTAAACCTACTTGAGAACTTTTAGCTGTAGCACCTATTAATAAACATATTCCCACTATTGTGATTATAGTTTCATTATAGTAAGGTGCTAATGCAAATACTGTACTATAATCTAGATTACCAAAAGATCATATTATTGTAAACATACCTACAGTTAATAAACAATCACCTACTCTATTAGTTAATAAAGCTGATAAAGAGCTTTGATTAGCTGCTATTCTAGTAAATCAGAAATTTACTAAAAGATATGAACAAATACCTACACCTTCTCAACCTACAAACATAACTAAATAATTATTTCCTGTTACTAGTATAATCATCATAAAAGTGAATAAACTTAAGTAACTAAAAAATCTTTGATTATGTGGATCATGACTCATGTAACTTATAGAATATATATGAACTAAACTAGATACTATTAATACTGGTATTAACATTGATACAGTTAATGAATCAAATCTAAAGTTTCATAATACATATAATGATTCTACATCTAATCATCTAGCTACATTTATTGTTACTGGTATATTATTAAAACCTACTTCAAAAAAAGCTATTATAGCTAAAAGTGTTGTAGTTATTACTGAACCACATGTTATTATATGTGATCCTGTTACACCTACTTTTCTACCAAAGAAACCTGATATTATTGAACCTATTAATGGTAAAATTATCAATGTTAAATACATTTATTTATATTGTATTGTTATACTACCTCTTAATCTATAATATGCTACTAATATCCCTAAACCTATTGCAGATTCAGCTCCTGCTATTGTTAAAATATATACAGCAAAAGTTTGTCCTAATATATCATCAAAACTAAGTGAACTGATTAATATTAAAAATGTTGCAGATAATAACATTATCTCTATAGAAATTAACATTAATATAATGTTTTTTCTATTTAATACAAATCCTAATATCCCTATGACAAATAAAAATATTGAAAAATTCATTATACTTATATAAAATTTTATTTGATTTATCTATACTACATATCTAAATATAATTATTATAAATATTAATTAATATTATATAAACATGTATAAGACTTGAACTTATATTTACGTGTCCGTAGCACGCTATTCTACCATTGAATTAACATATTTTAAAAATATAGAAGTAATTTACTTCTAGAATATAAGTAATTTACTTCTAGAATATATATATACTATTATTAGTAAATTACTTCTTTTTTTTTTAATTTGATTTCTATTTAAATACATTTATTTAAGATAATTTAAATATATTTATTTAAGATAATTTTATAAAGATTCCTTTTCTAAAAACATTAAAATATTTATTAGAATAATCATCATAAAAATACGTAGGTTTCATTTAAGACGGATCTTTAATAGGACGTCTATGATATTCTATATTTGCTGCAATTTTAGATGCATCGTTTAGATAACATTTACTCCCATCAAGATATTCTATCATACAATAATGTTGAGATGGGTCTAAAGATCTATAATTATAAGTATAACTTATACCATTATCTATATATACACGAAATCTATCATGATTTAACAATATAGGTAAACCAGGATGAAAGTCTTCAGGATAAACCATTCTTTTCTCAACTGAACTATAGTAACAAAACTGAAATACCCTAGATGGATTATCACCTAAACGTACATTTTCAAGTTCACTGGGTTTAAATTGCATACGAGAAGGTTCACCTGACTGTTTATTTTCTTCTTCTAACCGTTTTCTAGTATTTTCAACTTCATATAAAGATGGATTAGGATTATGATTAGGTCCACCTGAACCATTATTATAACCTCTAGATCTTTGATTAAACTCATTTCAAGTATAACTAAATTTACCTCTATTAATCTTTATAAAGGAATCATCATATAATTGGTTTAAATAATTATAATTAAGATTATCTAATAATTCTAATAAAAGGCTAGGATTATTATTTATAAAAGTATATATAAATAATACTATTATTATTATTCTATAAATAAAATATAATCTATCACCTGCTTTACAATCTATAATTAAATCTAAATATATTTTTGTTAGAGATATAAGTATATATCTTTTTAATTTAATTGTCGTCATATTCATTTTTTGTTGTATATTTAATTGTCCATTTGTTCTCTTAATCAAAGTAAGAAATCTTTTATAGATACAGATTGGATAGCTATAGGCATACTGCTGTGTAATATTCCACAAATTTCTGAACATTGACCGAAAAAAACTCCAGGACGATTTATGTAAACAGAAGCTTGATTTAATCTACCTGGGTAAGCATCTGCTTTAATACCTAAAGAAGGGCAAGCATAAGAATGTATAACATCAGCAGCTGATATAACAATTCTAGTGTGAGTTAATTCAGGTATCATAACTCTATTATCAACTTCTAACATTCTAAATTGACCTTGTTCTAAATCACTTTCTGGCACTATATATGAATCAAATTCTATAAATTCATCATCTGAATTTGTAAAATCAGGATATTGGTAACTTCAATATCATTGGTGACCTTCAGCATAAACAACTAATGAAGGATCCATAACTTCATCCATTAAATATAATAATTTAAATGATGGGAATGCTATTAATATTAATATAAATGCTGGTGATATTGTTCAAATTAACTCTATTAAAGTACCATGGTTCATAAATTTATGTGCAATAGGTGATTTATTGGCTAAAAAATTTCTTAATATTGTAATTATCATTCATGTTACAGTAAATAATATAATAGCTAAATAAAACATAATATTATTATGTAACTCTTCAATACCTTCCATTTGAGGTGAAGCACTATCTTGGAAAAATACACCCCAAGGAGTTGGAGCATCTAATTGTAATTTAGATATATAATTATATAAAAACATTTTTTTATTTTTATTTTTATTATAGTTATAATTTATCACACTAATTCATGTAAACTTTATGTAATCTTATATACATATACGAGTTAGACCGGTTTTGATCCGATATCTATTTTCTTGACAAGAAAACCCTTTACCAATTAAGTTACTAACCCTACCTATATATATATATATTTTATTAATTTAATAATAAGTAAAATATTATTAATATATAATTTACTTATAAATTAAAGAATAACCATTTCAAGATTTTATATTAAAATTAAATATTTGTCTACTTTCTATTTTTAAAGCATTTTTACCTAATTCAAAGGCAAAACCTAAAGTTAATACTAGGAAGAATACTATCATTACTAATAAACCATAAATACCATTAGTGTAAGCACTAACAACATAAGGATATATTAATAAAATTTCTAAATCAAATAATAAAAATAATAAAGCAAATATAAAGAAAGAAATACTAAATTGTGTTCTATTTTGTCCTAAAAAAGAATGAAAACCACACTCAAAAGCACTATCCTTTTCTTGATAAGGGTTATGTGGTGAAAGTATTAAATTAACTAATAATAATATTATACCTAATACTGGAATTAAAAATAAAAAAAAAGTTGTTGTTGTCATATTTAAAGGTTTAAAATTTTATAAGATATAAGTTTTATATTAATATTTTCTTACAGAGGTTTAAATTAAAATTAATAATAAAACTTATTATTAAATTAAAAAAAATAAATATATATAAGATTGACATTAATACATGTATTCTTTATTAAGCTACATATAGTAATAAAAAAGCCATCATCAAAGCAAATAATCCTGTTGCTTCTGCAAATGCAAAACCTAGTATAGCATATGAAAATAATTGTCCTCTTAAAGAAGGATTTCTTGCTACACCTAGTATTAATGCACCAAAAACTATACCTATACCTACTCCTGCTCCTATTAATCCCGTTGTGGCCATACCAGTACCTATAATTTTAGCTGCTTGTAACATAGTTTTAAGTTAAATTATGTTTACATATAGTTCTTTACAGTTAAATATTTTATATAGCCTTTATTTAGCATAATTGACTTAATAATTCAAATATTGTTGAGATTTCTATCTCAACTACTTGGGATTGAACATCTAACCCATTATTTAGGGGTAAGATTACTCTTTCTAATGCATCCAACGTTTGGTGTTGAACTATTAGTCTGTCTAGATAATCTAAACTATCTATTAAATACTCATAAGACATACGGTAGTCTATAGTATCTAAACCTGACATATGTATAGAGTAATTGTTATGTATGAATTGATCATAACGCATTTCATGATTATATATAACCAGATTAGATGCTATACCATTATTTAATGGCTCCATTCCTATAATCAGAGGAGTTGGATCTGCTTGAGGGCTATGATGTGCCAGTATTATACTAGGCTCATCTAGATTAAAATCATTATTTGAATTGTCGCTAATTGAACTATTACTATCTGAATCATTATCTGACATTAATACAGGTACATCATCATCAGCTTCTATATGATCATGGTCTCTAATAAGATTATACATACTCCGTTGTATTTCATCTATACGAATTTGGCTATCTTCCAGATACATTTCTAATAAACCTAGAGATGTTTGTATATCATCTATTATCCGAAAAATATCAGACTTTATTTGGTTATGGGTATTTGTATGTCTAGCTAGAGATTCAGCTAAAGCCTCAAGTTGAGGTTCAGTTACTGCTACATTGTTAGTAGTATTTGAGGCTACCTCTAATGTTTCAGTATTAACTATCTCACGCGGTGTGCTAGTATTGGGTTCAATACTATTTATAACAGATGTATTATCATTCACGTTATCATTCTCATTATTATTATCATGAGATAATTTAGCTTTTTTATCATCCTCACTAGATAAAGTAACAGATGCTTCTCTTTTACAACGTATCGGTAATACATTACTAGAAGAACTTGAACCAGTATTGATCGTATTAAAATCTATCTCTTCTTCAGGTTTAGTAGATGAATTAGTATATGGATTAGTAGATGAATTAGGTATATTTTGATCTATCTCCTCTCTATCAATTCTAGATGGTCTAGGGATTAAAGATTGGTTATTAATCCATCTTTTATTAAGTGTAAGATTTAATATATAAATCGATTTTTTGTTCATTTTTTGAAACATCATTGTATTAAGTTGTTTTATTTTTTTTAGTATGTTCAAAGTTAAATGAAAAACCTATAGCTATACCCCAAAGTTTAAAATAAACTTTGGTATAATAATATTTTTTATTATTATTTATAAAAATAATTACAAAGTGTAATCAAACTAAATAGCTTATTATAAAGTTAACGTATGTATCTTACTAGAGATATTACACACAGTAAGATTACTATTTTACCATTAACTATAAAACAATTATAATTACCTGAATAAATAGACGCAATAATTACATATAATTATAATAGTATAAAGTTAACATATGTATCTAATTAGATTAGATACATACATTGCAATGGGGACCGTTAACTTATAGATGCAGTTAAAGTCACTTTTGTGCTTTTATGCTAACATCTATTTATATAGTTAGGGTAGATACCTAGAATTGAACTAAGATATGTTATGCCACAGATAACCGTTCTACCTTTGAACTATATCTACCTTTTTAGATTAGATCTCTAAGATATTATTCTTAATCTAAAGTTAGATTATATTAAATAATTATATTATTAATACATAAAAATTATATATATTAAGTAAAAAATTACAATATTAATTAATGTGTATTTTTTGGATACAACATCACATGTTTATGGTTATATACAGAACATTCAATTAGAATATTATTATATATATTACTCAAAGATGGTACATATCATCTTTAATTAATCATATTTGTATCGAAAAAGAATACAAATCTACAGATTATTATAAATTTCAAGATATGGATACATATCATCTTTATTGAAGCATATAAAATATAAATTAACCTTAAATTAAGTTATTATATATTTTTTTTATATATTATAGTCACACAGGGTCAATCCTCTATGTCTATACAAATATATCTATAAAAGTAAGTGTGTATTGTAATACCATATCATCTTTATTAAAAATAAAAAAAAATCATATATGTATGATATATAATAATAACTAATCTAATTATTATAATATATAAACATTAAGATTGTAATGGTAAACTTGCAAAAGCATGAGGTTTAGGTGGACTAGTTAAACATCATTCTAAAGAACTATTATTTCTAGTAAAGTATACTTGGAAAGTATCACTAAATAATTGTGGAGTTAATCAAGGATATCTTGATACAGCTTTACCTTCTGTAAGTTGTTTATAAATAATAGTTAAGAAATATCATGTAGCTACAACACTAACAATAGAACCAATACTACTAATTAAGTTTCAACCATAGAAAGCATCAGGGTAATCACTAATTCTTCTAGGCATACCTTGTAAACCTAAGAAATGTTGTGGGAAGAATGTTAAATTAACACCAACAAATAAGATTCAGAAATGAACTTTAGCAGCAAAATGGTCATAAGATAAACCTAAAATTTTAGGAATTCAAAAATATCAACCACTAAATAATGCAAATACAGCACCCATAGATAAAACATAGTGGAAGTGAGCTACAACATAGTAAGTATCATGGAATGCTACATCAAGTGAAGCATTAGCTAATACAACACCACTTAACCCACCAATAGTGAATAATACAACAAATCCTAATGCAAAAAGCATAGGAGGTGTTAAATGTAAAGATCCACCATAACATGTAGCTAATCAACTAAATATTTTAATACCTGTAGGTACAGCAATAATTAAAGTAGCAGCTGTAAAGTAAGCTCTAGTATCAACATCTAAACCTACAGTATACATATGATGACTTCAAACTATAAATCCTAATACACCTATAGACATCATAGCGTAAACCATACCTAAATAACCAAATACGTTTTTACTTGATGCTGCTGAAATAACTGTACTAATAATACCAAAACCTGGTATAATTAAAATATAACATTTGTTTTAATTAAGTTAATAGTCTTATATAGATCTATTAAGTTTAATACTCAAAAACTTTCATTTTTGTTAGGACTCTATCTTATACTGAATGTTTATTTATCGATTCTTTTAATAATTTTATAGTATTTAAACCTTCTTCAGTTAAATGTTTATTATCTTGTATTATAATATACGCTTTTCTTCATTGAAGAAAACTACGGTGTTTACTAGATTGTAGATGATAATTATCAAAATATTTTATTACTTTTTTAGCAGAACCAAAGCTTGTTGATCCATAATAATAAGTATCTTGACAATTTCGATAACCTATATTACCACCAAATATTTCTTTTATTAATAATAATAAATCATTATGTTTTTGATCTATTTGAAAATTTAATCTAATTTCAGGTCTAGGTCTAATATCTCTAGTAATAATTTTAATTTGAAAACTAGCATCTGCATCAGAAAACCCTGCTAATCAATGATTATCTAAATCCTTTGAATTATTTATATTGAAAACTATATTTTCATTTAAATATTTAGGACTTTGTAATATACGAGTAATAACTTGATTATATTTATTACTAGTTCTTAATTTATTATTAATTAGATTAATAGTTCTAAGTATACCATCTTTTTTAGATATAACGTATATATAAGCGTTTTTATCTTTAACTTTTCTCACATGTCCAAAACCTATTACTTCTTTTATATAATAAGCTAATTGTACATCAAGTGAATTAAATACTATTACTAAATGTTGTTGATTATCAAAATGACCATCCCCATCTATTAAACCAGCTAAATAATGTCCAAATTGTTCATCATTTAATGGTTTTAAATGAGTAGGTACATGAATCGATATATTTTTTATATTTTCAGTATTGTTGCGTATAGTCTCTGAGGTTCCACTTTTTAAAATAAAAGCGTTACCTGCTGATTGGCTTCATTGTTTTAACTTTTTTACTATGTCAATAAAGAGGGAGTATTTAAAACTAGATATCGAAGCTTTTCCAGCATATAGCAACATTACGAGGCTTATAAATTTAACCTCAGGATGTCCGAAGAATCAGAATAAGTGTTGGAATAAAATAGGGTCACCACCACCAGCTACTTCAAAGAATGATGTATTAAAGTTTCTATCAGTTAAGATCATAGTAATTCCACCAGCTAACACTGGTAATGATAATAATAATAATACAGCTGTAATAATAACAGCTCATCCAAATAAAGCTAATTTGTGTAAACGTATACCAGGACTTCTCATATTTAAGATAGTAGTAATAAAATTCATAGCACCTAACATACTACTAATACCACTTAAATGTAAACCAAAAATAGCTAAATCTACACTAGGTCCACTGTGAGATTGTATACCTGATAATGGTGGATATAATGTTCAACCAGTACCAGCTCCATTTTCTATAGTAGCTGAGAATATAAATAAAAATAAACTAGGAACTAATAATCAAAAACTTATATTATTTAATCTAGGAAATGCCATATCTGGACCTCCTACTAGTAATGGTAATAAGAAATTACCAAAACCTCCTATTAATGCAGGCATAACCATGAAAAAAATCATCAATATGGCATGCGCTGTTATTATACTATTATATAACTGATTGTCTGATATATATTGAACACCTGGACCAGATAACTCTAATCTAATTAATACTGAAAATGCTGTACCAATTAAACCAGAGAATAATGCAAACATTAAGTATAAAGTACCAATATCTTTAGCATTAGATGATAAAAATCATCTTTCTTGTCATTCTGTAGGTTGTTTTAAATCTAACACTGTACTACTGCTTGATTGATCAGCAATATTTACTTGTGTAGAATAATTACATTTAGTATCCAAACTAGAATGTAATATTTGATTTGTATCCAGATCTTGTCTGTAATTTAATAAAGGATTAGCGGCGAGCAAAATAAAATTATAATTAAATTGTTTTTTTAGTATGTTTAAAGTAAAACTTTGTAAAACCTATAACTATACCCCAAAGTTTAAAATAAACTTTGGAAAATAATATTTAAAATATTATTTTGATTAATATATTATAATTATTTTTTACTTTTAGGTAAAATTAATTATAATAGAATATTTAAAAGGATTACATAATGTAATCAAACTAGAATAGTATATAGTAAAAGTTAACGTATGTATCTTACTAGAAGTAGAACACACACAGTAAGATTACTATAATACCGGAATTTAAACTGTACAATATAATACTAATTAACACTTAATAAATTAAACATTTAATATAGCTTTATATAGGTAAAGTATAAAAAGCCGGGAGAGAAATTCGAATTCTCATTCTTAATTCATGAAATTATTGTTCTACCTATTAAACTATCCTGGCTAAATCAGAAACATAATAAAAAAAATATTTAATAATTTGTCTTATGTTGGGGCGACTCGAACACCCAATGGTAAATACCAAAAATTTATGACTTACCTATTAGTCGACAACATAAACTATATGTATATATATACATACGGGTAACAAGACTTGAACTTGCATAGTTTAAACTATCCCGTTCTAAGCGGAACCTGTATACCAATTTCAGCATACCCATGTCTATATAGTCATGTTATCAAAGTTTGCTCGAGATAAGATTTGAACTTACAACCTAATCAGCTTCAATGATCCGCTCTACCAATTGAGCTTCTCAAGCGTTAATAATTAACAATATTAATAGTTATGGAGTTATCAGGACTCGATCCTGAAATAACGATATGCAAAATCGTTGTTTTACCAGTTAAACTATAACCCCTAATATATCCAAGAAACGATTCGAACGTTTACGGCTTGCGCCACTTAAGCTTAAGTTAAGACTGTCTACCAGTTCCAGCACTCGGATTAAATAAGACTAAAATGACTTGAACATTTACTCAAACCATCATGAGTGGTTCGCTTTAACCAATTAAGCTATAGTCTTTGGTAGCGAACTTAGGATTTGCACCTAAATAATATGGACATGAGCCATATATGTTACTATTACATTAATTCGCTTTAAGAGATAGGTGATTTGAACACCTGACCTTTCGCGTGTAAAGCGACAGCTCTACCAACTGAGCTAATCTCTTTTTAAAAAATATTTACATATTAAATCTTTTTTAACCCAAGGGAGATTTGAACTCCCGCACTAACAGTGAAAATGTTATGTCTTAACCAGTCTTGACCATTGGGTCTTTAAATTATATCTAAAAATATATTTAGCCCTATGCGAGTATCGAACTCACTTCTACCGATTACAAAACGGTTGCATTACTTTTATGCTAATAAGGCTTTATTGTAACATATAAAATATTATAATGATATTTAATAATATTTAGTATACTATTCTTAAAAATTAGTACTTTATATCTAAAAATGTTTTCATTCTTACAACTAAAGCCTATTAATTGTTAAAAAATAACAATTATGCTCGTAGTGTTCTACTACGTATAAAAGTATCATAAAGTTTGCTTCGCGTTTAGATGCTTTCAACACTTATCTTAAACTGATGTAGCTTTCCTGCCATGCCTATGTTGTCTGGCTACACTACTAATAGTGTAACAATACCTTAGTATAAGTATTAGTTATCATTATAACATATGTTATAATATAAATCATAAACAACAGGTAAACCAGAGATCAATATACCCAACTCCTTTCGTACGAAGGGGCTATCTTTAATCTACTTTATGTTCCTCTAGAAGATAGAAACCATACTGTCTCACGACGTATTAAACCCAGCTCATGTAGCTCTTTAATCGACGAACAGTCGAACCCTTCATGATTTCTGCATGCATGAGGATGAGCTAAGCCGACATCGAGGTGCCAAACCGCGCACTCAATTTGTACTCTCTTGCGCAAATTAGCCTGTTCAATTTATGTTATCATAAAAGATTCAGCCAGAAGCTGAATAAGCGCGCAAAGCGCGCCGAATATACTTTTATTTCCATTTTTCTCAAAACGGTTCAGACTATTTCATCATCTTTATTAATTAATATAAGGGAGGGAAAATTTGTAAATAAAATAAAAAGAAAAGATAAATTAAGTACTACTTACTCAACCTTTAACACCAAAAGCTCCAACACGTGAAGTTGAGTTAATTACAGTATATTGTAAATTAGCTTTATCATTTCCTCTTAAAACTGGTGTAGGATAACCTTTAAATGAAGAATAAACATTTTCTAAATTTCCTTTATATTTAGTTCTACGTTGAGATCTAGAAGCTGAAAAACGTCTAGTTAATCTACCAGCAGCTTCTAATCTAACACCAGATACTCTTTTATATTTTAAATTACTTAAAATAATTTTTTTAAGATATTTAGATTTAGTATTATCTAGTTGTAAAAAATTATCACTATTAAAAATATTAAAATTAAAGAATTTTTTAGATTTATCTGCTAATTTAACATTTTTAATTTTAGCTTTTCTTATTAAAACTTTAAGATATCTTAAAACATTTCTTTTTTTTTTTAATTTTAATTCTAAAGGTTGAGTAAATATTTTACTATTAAAATAAAAATATTTTAAATTAATTATATTAAATTCAACATTTTTATTAAAAATATTTTTTACTAAACTTACTAAACCTTGTAAATAAGTATTTTCAAATTTAGCTTTATTAATATAAAGCATTTGTTTATAATACATGTAGAATCTTAATCTTTTAAAACTTTTTTTAATAAATCTTGAATAATAAATATTTTGTGCTGTATTTACTTGAGTATTATATTTAGGTAAAAGATTACTTAATAATATACTTTTTTGTTGATGTTTACACAAAATATTTAATCCTACATTTTTTATTAATTTTAATTTTCTAGCAAATTTAGCTTTTTTAAATAATGTTAAATATCTTTTTTTAAGTTTTAATAAAAAATTAAGTTTTTGTTTATTATAAACATATAATGTTATATTTACTTTATCATTAGTATGTTTAAATTCACCATCACTAATAAATATTCTACTTGTAGATATTTTTCTAAATCTACGACGTAATCTATTTTTTCTTAATAAAGATTCTAGTTGTAAATGATATAAATTAAAGTAAGCTTTAATTAATTTCATTACATATTTGCTTTTAATAGGAATTAAATTAATAGCATTTTTATTATAAGCATATATACTACTTTTTCAATTCCTTACAGCAGGTATAACATCTCTATTATAAATAGCTATACTAGAATCATTTAATCCTTTTTTTTTATATGTAGTATTTAATTTTGATTTTATAATATTTAACATATCTATATATATATATATATATTAATATAATTAATAGAATTAATTATATAATATTAAAGCTTGGTAAACCAAGTCTAATACATTATTAAAAAATAATAATTATTATACAAATAGTGTTTTTAGTTATGATTAATTAATAAAGATGTTGGGCGTTAAAAAAGGATTATTGTTAGCTATACTCACCTTTTAGTCGTTGAACGTCCTTATTTTAATTTATCTTAAAGATAAACACATGCTAAAATAAGTTTCGCTTCAAATACACTTAATTAATATAAGTTGTCTTTGAAATTTACCCAATATATTACCAATATTTTATAATATTGGAGGACTCACAGTTATAAATCCCTAGCGTAACTTTTTCTATAATCCAAGACCTTTCCTTAATGCATCTTGTGATCATATGCCCCGCTTACGCGACTGATAGACTTGTAGGTCAAACAGTAAAGCAAGATTTAGCCATTAAACTTTTAAAGTATTAATAAACATTATATTAATAAAGATAAATACTTTATTAATATAACAAATAAACTTTTAAATCTTTGAACTAAAATTAGTACAAAGTCCAGTAAAGTTTAAAATACATCTATTCACCGCATAGTTAAAATCTTACTTAAAATAAAAAATAATTGTGGAATTTAATCGAATAATAACTGTATAATTATAATAATAATTAGAACAAATTAAAATATTTGTATATAAATATACAAGTTTACAATATGAACTTTGGATATACCCAGGTACTTTTTGTGGGATCTGTGCCCCGCATAAACTGCCTTCTAATCATTAAGAGTATATATAAGGATTCGAATAAAGGTGTTTCATTATTATCTAAACAACTACCTTATACACTATAAATCATCCTAAAATTTCACTCCTATAATTAGTAACAGTAAAGCTGCATAGGGTCTTCTCGTCTATCTAGAGGTAAACAGTATCTGCACTGCTATTCCAATTTCACTGAGACAATCATCGAGACAGCTGTTGCATCGTTAAGTCATTCATGCAGGACCGCATTTAACGGCCAAGGTATTTCGCTACCTTAGGACCCTCATAGGTAAGGCCGCCATTAATCGGGGTGTCCTTCAAAACCTCAGTTAATAATCAAGGTAGATCCGTTACCCAGCCGACATTGGGCAGACATCACACTCAATACTTTGATTTTTTATCTTTGCAGAGTGCTGTGTTTTTATTAAACAGTCGTACAACATTATTTCATGATTCCTCTTATTATTAATTTAATTTTTCATATTTAATTTCATACTTTACTATATGTTAAATTTAATAATAATGGTCCTCCTTATTCCAAAGGTACAGAGTCAATTTGCCGAGTTCCTTAATGATTGTTCTCTCAAACGCCTTTGTATTCTCTACTTGCTTACTTGAGTTAGTTTCTAGGTACGGTTATTATTGTTTTTTTTCTTTTATTACCTATATAAGTTATCTTAATCTATATATTATAGTATTATTAATAATAACGTTTAATAGATATATCTATATATGAACCATGTGAGTAACAATTCAAATATAGCCTATAAATACATAATAATAATCTAATGGTAATTAATTATTATTAATTATTATCTAATATTCTAATAATAGATAAAGACTATTACTTGGTTAAAATATATTTATTATTTACTCACTCTATTATATTTTAAAATCACAATATAATAATAAGTATGTATTATATATTATAATTTACAAATTTATACCAATAAGTATGAGTATTAAATATTTTTCACTTCAAATAATAAAATAAACTTTTCCAGAACCTTTATTACTTGTTAAAGGTTTTGGTATTATCATATAAAAAAGCATAAAACGTCATCAAAATTATCATTTGATTAATTTTTTTAGACACCGATTTTAGATGAAACCATAAGCTTCAGGCGAGGCTAAAAGCCTTTTTCGTTACTCATGTCAGCATTCTCTCTTGGATTTAACAGAAACACATAAGCGCAAAATAGCATTTACAACTACTATATTTACTACTACTAACCTTATTTATTGTACTTAATAACTATTTGAATATTTATCGTTAAATAAATAATCAATTAGTTATTTACTACTCCTAACTATATAATCCACAATAAATAACTAATTTAAATATTTATCGTTAAATAAATAATCAATTAGTCATTTTAGATTGTAGTATAGTTAAGAAAATAATCAATCCGAATATATAATAAATCATATATTTAGTCTAGAGTTCATATGTGAGATCTTTAATATTTTAAGAAAAATATTAATATTTTGTTTAATCCAATGTTCCGCTACCCCACAAAAATCCTAAGCCACAGCGCTCAAATTTAGATTTAAAATCTAGTCTAAGCTACAGCGCTTTAATTTATACTTGTGTACAAGGTTTCGGTATATTATTTAGATCCGTTAAATTTTCGGCGTTTTTTCCTAATTTATTAATCAGTGCTCTGTTACGAGGTCTTCAAAAAATGGCCGCTTCTAAGCCTATTTCCTGATTGTTTTAAAAAAAAACATCCTTAATTTCACTTAACAATAATTTTGGAACCTTAACTCTTGTTCTGGGCTGTTTCCCTTTAGACATACAACCTTATCGCACTATGTCCGATTATTTAACATTCATCTTTGCCCTTCCGAGTGCAAATACTCTCCGGTAAAGTCACTACAACCCCCCGATGTTGACAAATATCTTAGATATTGTCCGAGATCACAGTTCTGTACCTGCTAAGATGTTAATTAAATTACCTACTTACATAGGTTTCGCGGAAAACCAGCTATACTAGTCAGTTTTGTCTTTCACTAACTTACCACAGTTCATCGGATATCTTTACAACGATAACCCGTTCGGGCTTTTATAACCCTGACCATGGTAAGATCACTAGCCTTCGGGTCTAATTCTAGATACTAATTCATTTTTTCATAATTGGTTTATCTGCGTATCTACCTCCTAATTTTATTAATAAATTTACATACAAAAATTAAAATAATATAATTATACATATTATATTATGTCTAATATTCTATATGTAAATGCTTATAAAAGAGATGTTACTTGCATCTAAAATTAACTTGCTGACCCATTATGCAAAAGGTACGCTCTTATTATTTATTTAAAATTTAACTTGAGCTGCTTATAAAACTACTATTTCAGGGTATTTCCCTCACGGTACTGTTACTCTATCGCTTATATATTTTTTTTAGCCTTAGAGGAAGGTTCCCCTATTTTTCAACAGATTTTTTTCCGTTATACTTAAATATACTGTTTAGTATACTTACTATAAATAATCTTAACCTATATTTGTAATTAATAGTAATTATTTATTAAGGCTTTTGCTATTCAGAAGACACCAAATAACAATCTCGTTTGATTTATTTTACTAAAGTTACTAAGATATTTCAATTCACTTTGTCTTATAATTAGATTTCTCTATGATTTCTAGTTTATATTGTTCCCTAGATATAAATATCTTGAAATATATAGCTAACCATCCATAATAGTTTCTTTATATACTTGTCTTGATTTCTCAAGATGTATATGGTACATATCATCTTTATTGGCCCATATAATTGAGCTTATTACAGTTATCAGGTTATTATGATTCGAACATAAACAATCTCCAACCCAAATGAAGCGACCAACCATCGGACACTAACCTGTAAGACCTATAATGTATTTTCATTAGTTTAATATAATTTTATTATATATATTATAACATATTATAACATTATTATGCAATTTTATTTAATTAATTTTTTTATACATTATAAGTATCAGAGAGTATATGATTCGAACATATGAAAGTTTATACCTTTAGCTAGACTCAAGCTAGCCGCCTTAAACCACTCAGCAAACTCTCTTTTTTTTTTTTTTTGATTCTTCAGTGACTCGAACACTGAAAATATCCTTATCAAGAATACACTTTACCAGTTAAGTTAAAGAACCTATAACATATTCAAGAGCACTTAGATTTGAACTAAGAAATATAAGGTTGAAGCTTACAGTTTTACCTATTAAACTATGCTCTTCGGAAAAAAGATGAATCGAACATCTAAGTGTTAAAACACAATATTTAGCAAATATCTTACCCTACCAATAGCAACTTTTCCTTTAATTTATATACATATACGAGTTAGACCGGTTTTGATCCGATATCTATTTTCTTGACAAGAAAACCCTTTACCAATTAAGTTACTAACCCTATATATGGCTAGCTGAATTCGAATCAGCACACTTTACTTGGAAGGTAAATAGTCTACCATTAACTTATAGCCATTATGATAATTTTAATATTTAAATTATTTACTTATTATGACTAGCTGAATTCGAATCAGCACATCTTATATGGTAAATAAGCAGTCTACCATTAACTTATAGTCATTTTCCAAATTTGAACTCAGATTATAGTAATCTATTAAGACCTATGGGATTTGAACCCATATTATAATGATTAAAAGTCACATGTTTTACCATTAAACTAAAGTCTCTAAATATAATTATTTATTATAATTATCACCTATCCTATAGGAATAGTAGTGTATTTTACTAGATTAATATAATCTAGTAAAATTGTTTTAATTCATGAAAAAAACCCTCCACTTCATGAATTGAATTTTTTCCCTCTCTAACTAATTCATGCTAAGATCTAAAAAGATCAAGTCTCTAGATTTTAAATTGAATTAGTTAAATCATACCCTGCTTACAATTATTATCTAATTTAATAAATATATAATTTATGTTGTATAATAACAGGTCTAAATAGACCTTTAGTTTATCTAAAGATAAAGCAAATATATCTTATTATTTATCTATATTTAGATATTATACCTTAGGTATAATAAATAGATATCTAAACATATTTATTTCTAATAACCTCAGTAATATACAGAAATATATAAGAATAATCATACTACGTCTACAAAATGTCAGTATAATATACCTGATTCGTAACCAAGGTGATGGTGATCTGTTAAATGGTATGCAGCTAAACGTCATAATCCTACAGCTAAAAAAGCTGTTCCAATAATAACGTGTAAACCGTGGAAACCAGTACCTAAGTAGAAACATGAACCATAAACACCATCAGAAATAGTGAAAGAAGATACTGAATATTCAACACCTTGGAAGAAAGTAAATACTACAGCTAATATAATTGTTATAGCTGTTCCATATAAAGCACCTTTTCTATTACCTTGTATTAAAGAATGGTGAGCGTATGTAATTGTCACACCTGAAGATAATAATAATATAGTGTTTAATAATGGTAATTCGAATGGATTAACAGCTTGTATACCCAATGGAGGTCATTGTGCACCTAATTCAACACTAGGTGATATTGCACTATGAAAAAATGCTCAGAATATAGCTAAAAAGAAGAAAACTTCAGATATAATAAATAAACCTACACCTAAGTTTAATCCTTTTTGTACAGCATTAGTATGATTACCTAAATAAGTTCCTTCTGAAATTACATCTCTAAATCATAAAGCCATAACGTAAATAACGTTAAATACAGCTAAAGCTACTAAATATTGGAATCCAGGAAATCCGTGCATAAATAAAACTGCAGTTGTTGTTAATATAAATAAAGACAAACTAGTAAACAATGGTCAAGGTGACGGTGATACTAAATGGAAAGGATGATTTTGAAAATTACTTTTTGATTTATATATCATATTTTAATTTAATAATTAATTGTATAAGCTTTATCTATCTATTTTTGTTTTATTGTGATAACTATAGCACCTACCATACCTAATAGTAAAATAATAGAAGTAACAATTAATCACATAGAATAACTAGTATACATAATATTACCTATACTAGCTATATGTGTAGGTTCTATTAGTGAATTATCTCAACCTTTACTACTAGCATAACTAATTTGTTGTTTTAAATCAACTATATTAAACAATTCATTATCTAATTGTACATTATATATATCAGAGTATGAATTAGATAAATAAGAAACAATACTATTTTCTGTAAAATTTATAGGTAATACCTGTGCCATTATATAATAAAAAATAATAATAGTTAAACCAGCTAAAGGTAAATCATTATTAGTCTCATGAAATAATTCAGAAACTCTAATGTTAATTAACATTAAAATAAATAAAAATAAAATAGAAACAGCACCTACATAAACTAATATATAAGCTAATCCTATAAAATTATATCCTACTAAAATTAATAAACCTGCAACATTAACAAACAAACCTATTAAAAATAAAACAGATACTACAGGATTTCTACAACTTATAGTAAGTATACCTAATAAAATAGATACTAAATAAATAATATCTACAAATTCTATTCTAAATCCATTAGTAATAGAATCATTTAATAAAAATATATTATTCATAATAAAAAAAACTAAATCTATTAACATATTATACAAACAATAATAAATGTCTAGATAGGATTAGATAAAGATCTAATTAGGGAGAAAAGGAATCGAACCTTCGATAGCTTATAGCTATTGAGTTTACAGCTCAACCCGTTAACCAGCTTACGGGACCTCCCTATTTGATATATATATTAAATCATTTACTGGAATTGAACCAATTTATTATATACCTATATATGATTATATAATATATATACTATTATTTTTTTTTTTAAATTTTATACTCCCCGTGCAATTTCCATTACACGAACCTTATTTCGACTTAACACCAATCAAAGTTTTGCATACGAAAACTATCCTGCATATTTATATATCATAAATATATATAACTTTACACAGAAAAAATCAAACTTACTGCATCTACTTTTTTCAGCGCCTGACGAGTGGTTAGTACCTAACTAAGATAAAATTCACCGTGACGTTGGTGATTCACGATTACTAGTAATTCCTTTTTCATGTAGTCGAGTTACAGACTACAATCCATATTATTTCCTTTTTTGGGGATTAGCTCCATTTCACAATATCGCATCCCGTTGTAAAGGCGTATGTGGCACGTCTATAGCCCACAGCATTAAGGCCATAATGACTTGTCTTAATCCCTTTTATCTGGTCCGATGTAGTAGCGAACCACTTTATATAAATAAATAAAGTGAGGGTTTTCGTTAATTAAAGGAATTAACCAAATCTCACGACATTAACTAAAGACAGCCATGCAGCGCTTGTAACAATTTTTTATAATCTGCTATACAAGCTGTGGTAAGGTTTTTCGCGGATCATCGAATTAAATAACATACTTCACTACTGGTTTTAGAAACGGTCTAATGATTTCAGTTTATATGTTGCCATAGTACTCTTGAGGTGGAATGCTTACACTTTCGTTTATACATTAAATTTATATCTAATGTATGACATTCATCATTGTCTGCTTGGACTATTAGGGTATCTAATCCTGTTTGCTACCCAAGCCTTCGTCTCTCAACGTCAGTTATTACATAGAAGGACGCCTTCGCCGTTGACAGTCCTCCTGGTATCATCAAATTTTATCTCTACTCCAGAAATTCTTCCTTCTCTCATATAACTCTAGTAAAAAAGTACTCGTTTAGAGTTTAATTTACCGTCTACTTACCCTTTAAACCCAATAAAGATAACTAACACTAGCCTCCTACGTATTACCGCGACTGCTGGCACGTAGTTTGGTCAAGACTTATAAATAGATTATGTCATTATATACAATCTATTTAGAATTTTATGCGAGTTAATCGCGAATGTATCCATATTAGATACATAGACATTCTTCCAAGTTACTGGTTCAGCCTTTCGGCCATTGACCAATATTCCTCACTGCTGTACATAAAAGCATTGGGTTTTTTTCAGACCCAATGTGGTCGATCAACTTTCCAGTTACGACTACGGTTTATTGCTAGAAAAGTCATTACCTTTGCTACTACTCACCGAGATAAAAATTATCATCTTAAAGCGGTTATTTAAGATAACCTTTGGTTATAAGGGATTTTTTCCCTTACTTTAAGGTAGCCAATTTATCATTTACTCACCTGTACACCACTACTACTTAATTTAACTATTAGATAATAATTAAACTAATTAGTCGTTCGATTAGCATGTGTCAAGTACTTGGACAGTGTTCAGTTAGAGCCATCATCAAACTCTCTATTTTATTTTTAATGCATACATCACATCTATATTGTTTTATACATAACTATAAAATTATCAATTTTAATGTTATTATTTAAAGATATAATTAAGCCAGTTTCTGTTTAATTTTAATAATTCTAAATAAAAACTTAACATAGGATTCTTGTTCGCTATTATTTTATTATTACTATTTAGTATTTTATAATAATTTTAGTTTCTGTTAATATCCTTATATTTTTATAATTATTGAATAAATATATTCAAGTGTATATGCCTAATAAGTATTGGACTTTCCTATTTTCATAAAATTTTTATATCTTTAAATAATTATTATTATATTATAATAATATAATTTGTTTATATTTGTGTATTATATAAATATATATATATATATATATATACTTTAAATATACTATAATATTAATGTAAGTCTAAACCATCTTTAATATATGAACAAGCTAAAACTACAAAAACTTGAGCTTGAATAAATGCTATAGCTAACTCTAAACCAGAGAATGCAATAATAAATGCTAAAGGTATTAAACCTAATATGAAGAATATTACACCACTAGTCATAATATTATATGTGAATCCACTTAAAATACTTAAAAGCATGTGACCACTTAATATGTTAGCAGCTAATCTTAATCCTAATGAAACATTTCTAGATAAATATGAAATAAATTCAATTAAAACTAATAAAGGTAATAAAGCTAAAGGACAACCTGAAGGTACAAATAATGAGAAGAATTTTAACCCATGTCTTTGGAAACCTAATATAGTTGCACCTAAAACAACAGTAAAACTAATAGAGAATGTTAATATAAAGTGTGATGTAGATGCAAAACTATATGGTACTAATCCTATTAAATTATTTACTAAAATAAATATGAATAATACATACATTAATGGAAAGAACATTTGTCCTTTATTAGGATTAATTTGATTTACTACTATACCGTGTACTGTAGCATATATACTTTCTTGACTTATTGATCAGTTATTAGGTATTATTTTATTATTATTAGTAGCTAATAAGCTATATGTTAAAATTAAAAAGATACTAATTGATAAATATAAACCTATATTTGTTAATGATAAGTGTAAATTACCTAATAAGTTAGCGTTAAGAGAAAATAAATCTCTTACTTCAAATTGGTCTAATGGACTTAATACAAAATCTAAATGACGCATATTATTGTTTATTTATAAGATATATATAAATATTAACTTATTGTTTTCATTACCTAATGAAACTCTATTAAGATAGAGATATATATAATAATAAAAAATTATTATGTTTTAGTTATATATATAATACAACTACTAATTTATATAATTATAATTTATTTATGTAAATACGTGAAATAAAAGTACGTACAAATCTAGGTAATATGAATTTAGTAAATGTATATATTAATACTGTTAATATAACAAAAGTAAATACTACTTGATTTACAAAAAAGAATGGTACTAATTGTGGCATATATTTGTATTTTATCTATTATATGGATATTTTCTTAATATATATCTTGACTTTTTTTTTTAGATTATAAGGTAAGGTAAAAATAAGCCCTTAAGATGAATCGAACATCTATCAAAATATTAACAGTATCTCGCTCTACCATTGAGCTATAAAGGCTAAAATAATAATAGTATTAATAATATTATTATTACAATTCTTACCCAAGGGTCGAACTTGGATCAAAATATTAGAAGTATTCGGCTCTGCCATTGAGCTAGTAAGAAGATAAATAAACATAATTATTGAATTGAATAAAACAAAACAATAAATGTTATTATAATAAATAAATTATATAAATTATATTAATTTATACTATAAATTAAAGAAGAAACTGAGTAATGTAAACCATCTAATATAGGAGCAGGATATATACCAAATAATACTGTAAATACTACAAATACTAATAATAATATAAATTCTCTTCTAGTAACATCACCTATGTTTTCTACAAAATATACAGAATAAGAACCACCAAAAGCTATTCTATTATACATAAACATTGTATAAGCTGCAGATAATACAATAGAAGTACTAGCTAGTATACCTAATATAGGCATTCTTTCAAATGCACCATATAATGACATAAATTCACCTATGAAATTTAAAGTTAAAGGTGTACCACTATTACCTAAACATAATATAAAGAATAATATAGAGAATACAGGCATAATTTGAGCTATACCTCTATAATATGTAATTAATCTAGTAGAAGATCTATCGTATAAAATACCTCCAGCACAAATAAATAATCCTGGTGATACAAAACCGTGAGCTAAACCTAAAACTATTGAACCTTCTATACCTTGTATTGTATTACTAAAGGCACCTATTAAATATACAGCTGCGTGAGATACAGAAGAGTAAGCAATTAATTCTTTAATATCTATTGTTCTTAATGTACTAAAACTAGCATAGATTATAGTTATTACACCTATTACATATATAATATATGTAAGGTTTAAAGAAGCTTTAGGTAATAAAGGTAACATTAATCTAAATATACCATATAAACTTAATTTTAAAACTATACCTGCTAATATAATACTACCAGATAATGGTGATTCAACGTGAGCTTTTAGTAATCAAGTATTTAAAAAAATAACTGGTGTTTTTACAGCAAAAGCTATAAATATACCGTAAAATAAAAATAATTGAGTTGTATAACTAAAGTTTGCTTTAAATAATGCATCAAAATCAGTAGTACCCATAATAGAAGACATAACTATAATAGATAATAACATAAACAATGATCCAATTAAAGTGTATAAAAATAAATAGAAACTAGCTCTTACTTTATTACTTGAACCAAATAATCCAATTAATAAAAATAAAGGAGGTAATATACTTTCAAAAAAAACATAGAATAATAATATATCTAAAACTAAGAATACAGCTAATAATAATGATTCTAATAATAACATAATTACTACAAATGATAATACATTTTGAGATTGTATTGAATTTCAATTAGATAAAATAGCAACAGGCATTATTATAGTTGTTAATAATATAAAATATATTGATAAACCATCTACACCTAAATAGATATCAAAATAACTTACTTGGTAATGTTCTTCAATAAATTGAAATTGTTTACTACTAAAATCAAAAAGTATAAACATTATTAATGATACAATTAAATTTATTATTGATGTAGTTAAGGCTATAGATTTTATTTTAATATTATTTACTATACTTAAACCAGAATTAGTCTCTATAGTTACAAGACTTATTCCTATCAATGGAATTAATAATAATAATAAGGACATATTAAATTTAGAATATATATATACTTTCTGCTTAAAAAAAACATTAATTTGTTTTTGTTACACCTTATATATGCTATAAAGCTTAAGTATATATTAGTTAATACTATATTATAATTAATTATTATTTTTTTTTATAATACATACATACATACTATATTGAAATATATAAGTTACATAATAAATTTATATATGATTATATAATTTAATAATAATATAATTATATCTAAATTAACAGAATTAAAGTAATATAAATTAATAATAAATATTAAATTAAAGTATTAAACTTGTAGGTAAAGCATCTAAACCAAATACAACACAAGGTATTAAAACAACATATGCTATAATTAAAGGTAATAGTACAGTTCAACAAACTGACATTAATTGATCAAAACGAATTCTAGGGAAAGATGCTCTAACTCAAATAAACACAAATATTAATAAAGCAGTTTTAAAAGCTAAATTTAAAGGAGATGAAGAAATATTAACAAATATATCTTGTAATATAGAACTATTAATACCAAATATATTATATAATATATCTATTATAAATTCAACAGGTATAATACATAAATAACCACCAAAAAATAAAATACTATTTAAAACACAAATTAATATAATACTAGCATATTCAGCTAAGAAAAAAAATACAAATACACTAGCTGAATGTTCTGTCATAAAACCACTAACAAGTTCTGATTCAGCTTCAGCTAAATCAAAAGGAGCTCTATTAGTTTCTGCTATAGAACCTATAAAGAATATAATAAATAAAGGAAATAATGGTAATATGAAATCAACTATTCTTTGTGATTCTACAATAGTAATAATATTTAAATTACCTGTTAATAAGATAATTAATATAATTACAGAACTTAATATTAACTCATAACTAATTAACTGAGCTGTACTTCTTAATGAACCTAAAAAAGCATATTTTGAATTAGCAGATCAACCTGCTAATAATATACCATATGTAGCTAAAGATGACACAGCTAACATATAAAGCATACCTAAACTATAATCAGATACAAAAATACCACTATCAAATGGTACAACTAAATAACCTAATAAAGAAAATATTAAAGTTATCATAGGTCCTAAGAAAAATAATATAATATTAGCTTGTGTAGGAGCTACATACTCTTTTAATAATAGTTTTAAAGCATCAGCAAATGCTTGTAGTAAACCATAATAACCTACTGCATTAGGACCTAATCTTCTTTGCATAGAAGCCATAGTTTTACGTTCGGCTATAGTTACAAATGCAACTGAAAGTAAAGCAGGTACTATTAATAATAACCCTTCAATAATTGAAATTATACTTATCATTTATATATTTATTATTTATTATAACAATATATATCAATAGAATATTTATATTTATATTAATATTAATTGTAATTAACAACCTGCAGTTTTTATTCTATATATATAAATATTTAATAAATATACTCAACATTATACATTGAAACTTTTTATGTTTAATATATATATATATAATCTAATATTTTAATTAAAAATATAGGTTAATATTATATATAAACTAATTGAATAGGATTTAGAATAGTATACTCTAAATACAAACATGTATATCTAAGGAGTTCGGGGAACTCGAATCCCTTTATTTCGATTTGCAATCGAAACGCAGAACCTTCTACTCAAACTCCTATAATTTGTAAATATTAATTATATATAATAGGTATAATAATATATAATTTGTAAATATTAATTATATATAATAGGTATAATAATAATATTATTATATACTAATTATTTTTTAGTAGCTAACTCTACTAAACTATTTTCTATAATACTTACTACAGGTACTATAATAAAGAAGTGTGCAAAGTATAATACAGTAGATATTTGTCCTACTTCAATAAATGGTGTTTCAACGTGTTTAGCACCTATTTGCATTAATATTAAGAAATTAGCTACAAATATAAAGAATGCAATTTTACTTAAAGGTCTAAATTGTACTCCTCTTAATTTAGATAAATCTGTTAATGGCATAGCTAATAAAGCTAAAATAGCAGCAAACATAGCTATAACACCTAATAATTTATTAGGTATAGATCTTAATATAGCATAGAAAGGTAATAAATATCATTCTGGTACAATAGCAGGTGGAGTTTGCATAGGATTAGCCACAACATAATTTTCACTATCTCCTAATGCATTAGGCATAAAGAAAACAAATATAGATAATACTATAAAGAATAAGAATATAGTAACTAAATCTTTAAATAAGAAGTAAGGAGCGAAAGGTAATCTATCATAATTAGCTGATATACCTAAAGGATTACCTGATCCTACTACATCGTGGTAAGCTATTAAGTGCATTAATACTAATGCAGCTAATACGAAAGGTAATAAGAAGTGTAATGCAAAAAATCTGTTTAATGTAGCATTATTAACTGAAAAACCACCTCATATAAATTCAACTATATCTTGACCTATTCAAGGTATAGCACTCATTAAATTAGTAATAACAGTTGCTCCTCATAAACTCATTTGACCATAAGGAAGTACGTAACCTAAGAAAGCTGTAGCCATCATTATTATAAGGATTACTGTACCAATAATTCATGTTAATGTTCTTGGTGATTTATATGATCCATAGTATAAACCTCTACCTATGTGTAGGTATACTAAAAAGAAGAAAGCTGAAGCTGTGTTAGCGTGTAAATAACGTATTAATCAACCATTGTTTACATCTCTCATAATGTGTTCAACAGAATTAAATGCTTCAGCTACACTAGGTGTATAATGCATAGCTAATGTAACTCCTGTTACAATTTGTATTATTAAACATATTGCTAATAATGAACCAAAGTTTCATAAATAACTTATATTGGCTGGTGTTGGTGCGTCGATTAAGTAAGAATTTACTAATCTTAATAAAGGATGACTTTTAAGAATTCTCATATTTTTATTTTATATTTATTGTTATTGTTCTATTTTATGTTTTATTTTGCTATATTTTAATATAAATAAATAAATATAAATAAATATAAATATATATATATTTATTTATATGGGTTTGTTCAATTAAAAACTGCTATGCAGCCGGAAAAGAAATTATAATTCCTATTCTTAATAAATGTAATTATGGATCTATATATATATATTGTAATTATATATTTTTATTTTTTTTTTTATTATCTAGATAATATTAATATTAATTTATGTATGTTTGTTTAATTAAAGTTTTATTAATATTTTAAATATTAACAGGAATAAATAATACAATAGCTAATATATTAGATAAATGTAATGCTTCATTAGGCATAAACATAAATAAAAGTATAATTAACGTTAAGATAGAAATAGTTATAGATAAAGAACTAGATAAAGAAAATTTAGAATCAAAATATATTTTATTAACTACTTTATTATTTTGTGTAATAAGAGCAGGTATTCTTAAATCTTTTAAGCTACTAAAATAAGTATAAGAATGTTCACTAAAGAACATAGTTTTTACTATAAATAAGTAATATACAGCACTAATAACACTAGTTAATACTCCTATAAGAGTTAAGAATACAAATCCTTCTTGTAAAGCTGCAGAGAATACCATCTGTTTAGCAAAGAATCCCATTAAAGGTGGAATACCAGCAAATGAGAATAAAGTAATAGAGAAACTTAAAGCTAAAAAACTATTAATATGGAAATATCCTTTAAGTTGACTTATAAGTTGTATAGGTGAGTTATTTTTATCTACTAAATTATTATGATTAATATTTTTATCATTATAAGCATATAAACTATAACCTATAGCTACTAATATAAAAAATGCATTTAAATTAGATAAACTATATTGAGTTAAATAGAAAATAAATGATTGTATAGATTCAACACTATTAATAGCTAATGCTAATAACATAAAACCTAAATGAGATATAGTACTATAAGCAAACAATCTTTTAATTCTAAATTGTGTTAAACCTAATACAGAACCAATTACTAAACCTAATAATGAACTTATTAAGAAACTAGTAGTTCAAGTATA